AAAATTTCTGTTAAACTTTCCAACCTTAAAATGGACTTATCCACTCACGCCACTCAAGCCAATATGTTTTTCGGTCTAGTTACGATGTATGTTTTCATACTCTCGATTGGCTTGTGTGGAAAAATCAGTTAAAATATCGATTTTTCTTTACAAGATTACGCCCTTGACCAAAAAACACCTTTTATTTCTGTTAAGGAAAATCGAATTTTCCATATGTTATCCCCAGGAACCGCTCGTAAATTTGCTTTCATTCTACTCAAAATCGATGTACTTTTCAACCTTCTTCGAGGCTTGCATGCGAAAATGGGGCACCTAAATCAGTCACTATCTGACGGTCTATAAGAAGATATCTTTAAAACGTTAAGAAAACCCACTTGTATAAAAACAGATAACGGTGAATTACAATGAAGCCAGCGATGTTGCCATATATACTGCGTTCTATTTCTAGATTTAACGGTAATCTAAATAATTTTTAAATATTCTCAAATTTCATTATTCATTTGTGGGCTTCTCATGGTAGGGTTTCTTGCTCATAGGAATATATAAGAATGCGATTTCAACTCCACTCTTGTTTTGGACGTTAAAGAAACCGGACCTCTCGTGAAGGCAAAAATGTTTTATGGATTTTATATTATAAAAAGTATTTATATACCCACCACTGGGAGCAATTATTAATCTGAATAAAGGATACCTATATTTATATTTTGTAACTTTGACGCGAAAGCCGTCTCTGTTCCTTGTTTACTCCTTGTCCGCGGTATGAAGTCTAGCGCTGGCCATATAGAGACAAACGCACCGCTTGGAGAAGCTACCAGCGTATGAGTCATAGAGAGAGTTCTGGTACATAAATTATATAAATAGCGCGAGTTTGTCTACGGACAAGAAGATTCAATTTAAGTGTTGGACAGCAAAGATAAATTGTAATAAATAAATTAGAAATCACACTCAAGTACCGACATGACCTAAAAACCTGTATTGGACACCATGGGTGTGCTGCCATCTACATGTCGTCTCCATCGCAATCAAATCAAGTGTGCATAAGATTATCCTACTATCATATCTTCATATAACGGCCTTACTGTCGAATTTGGTCGAACAGAATTGCTGTTGGACATCAAATGTGTAAACTCACTGTTGGTAAACACATTTGCCGTGATAACATAACAAAAGAGTAACAATTATGACATGACTAAAGTCTATTCAGATTTCATTTACGCCGCGTCAAAACAATCTCTCCCATCCAGCAACAGCTCACGTGGCATTTTTTTTGCACTTCTATTGGTTAATCGGTCGTTAGTCATTTAGACGACGCGCAAATATTTTTTGTCAGAGTCGAATTCAGTTCAATTTGTATAATTATAAACGGCGTTTTGGTAGCATTTACCGTGTGGTTAGTTTGGACATTTTGTATGTTTGATTGATTATAATTCATTATATTATAGTTTAGATATACATATATTGTGTTATTTTTGTTTTGTTTTTGTGGTTGTTGTTAGTTTGAATATTTTTTACTCTATTTTATGGACAATTAATTGACTATATTTTGTAACTGCTGCGTGACACTATGTCCTCCACAGATACAGCAGATGAAGTCCAGAAAAATGTTTTTACTCCTTCTAAAAAGCGAACGAAAAAGGTACATTTGGTCATCCGTACTAAAGAAATGGTTTTTAATATTTATAAGCATTAAATTTTATAGAATCCTGATATGTTGGTACATGATGTTGAAAGGAGAGTTGCTGATAAAACAGGGATGTGCGCTAAAACCGTTTTTAATGTTATGAGGGAGTATAGGCAGATTCATAAATATTCTGAACCAAAAAGAAAGCTACGTTTTAAACAAATTAGTGGCTCTGTGGATAATTTTGATAAAAATGCAATAAGGCGTAAAGTACATCAATTCTTCTTTAGAAATTAACTTCCAACAATCGATAAGGTTTTATAAGAAGTCAACGATGATCCATATTTGTCTACTTTTAAGCGAGCTACATTTTACAAGCTTTTCAAAACCCTTAATTTTAAATTTAAAACTCGAGGAAAAAATAGTTTGCTTTTAGACAAAATGAAACTGTTTCGTCCTACGCCACAAAAAATAAAACGGTACAGAGAAGAAAAGCAAAAAATATATTATCTTGATGAGACTTGGATTAACGCAGGCCACACCAAATCAAAAGTATGTTTCGATATGTCGGTTTTATCATTCAGACAAGCCTTTTTGGATGAACTTTTACAGTTCATCAAATTTCTAGAGGCTTTCGACGGCTAGACAGAGAAAGCACTACTGACAGGCATCCCGACGGATTTAAGCAATGAAAGTACACTCTGCGCATCAAGTATTTCACTATTTCATTCAGACGTAAATGTCAGATGTAAATTTCGCTAAAACATTTCTTTTATTTTCGTTTGTGTTTTTTGCTCATTACAGTTTAATAGAACCTAAGTATGGAGTTTAATAGCAAATTAAGAGGCCGCGTGATTAACAGTCAATCTCGCGAAATAATAGCCAATGTTATAGAGTTTATGAGAAGAGAAGGAAACTTTAATTCACCTTCAATACCATTTAAAAATGTAAATGATCGTGTTGCTGCAGCCACAGGAGTATCTAAAAACACTGTCGTCCGCATTTCTGGAGAGAAAAAAAGAATCGATAACCGTGAGATATCGGAATTTTCATCACCAAGAAAAACCATTAAAAAACCAAAAACAGTTAATGATATAGATGAAGCTGCACAAGAATCAAATTTTATTTTTTTATTATTAGATAGCTATTTTTGTTTCTGAGTTGTGTTCATTTACAGGCTCAATTTTTTTCCGTTTCTCCTTTTTGATTTTATATGGGGTTTCAAGTTGTTTTTGACTTATTTCGACGTAAATCACAACAACACACTTTTTTAATAAAGCAAACAAGTGTTAAGAGGTATATGTACGTGTAAACTACAATTACAAAAAATTGATATGAAACCCATGAAACCACCAACAAAAATGTAAAGCTAGCTTCCGTACTAGAACAGGGTGTCATTCGTCGAGATAATTTATCGTTTTGTTTAATAGATCAAGAAATGTAAATATTCCCCTGTTATTTTTTATAAAATTATAAGAGAAATAAATTTTTTTCTAAATTGTATAGTTTATTATTTTGTAGAAAAACAAAATTTCGAAAATTTTAGTAATGTTTCAGAAACAACCGTTATTAATAATAGGTACCATTTTCCTTAATAAGGTAGAAATAAAATATAAACTATTTCCACGATTTACAAAGGCCTACAAAAAAATTATAGGTATTTTCCGCTATCCTATAAAATTTATATTTTCTGACTCAATTTCAAAAGGTTGAAGGAATTCCAAAACACCTTTTATGGCATAATAATTATTTTCAATTCTACATACTATCTTTAGCTGCTTTTAAAAACGTTCTAAGAAAGTCCAATCAGACCAATTTAATCCCTAAACTATTCCACACTTTTAAAATTTAATTACCTAAAAATATTAAAAACTATTTAAAATAACTTGTTTAGCAGACTGTACAATAGCTATCTTAGTCACACGTAGCGCGTTCTCTGTCTGGGCGTCGAACACCTCTAGAAATTTGATGAACTGTAACTGGTTTTAAAAACCCATCAGGTATATGCGTAAAAACAGCTCATTATATGCCATATTGGAAGTGAAGAAGGCTTTGCTCCTAATGCACTTTATGTATTTAAGTTGAAAAATCCGGTGACTACCATGAAGAAATGTGTGGAGAATCGTTCAAAGATTGGTTTTCAAACACCCTACCAAAATTAGAAGATAACTGCATTAGTATTCGAGAAAGCTGGACAAAATACCTACAACGACGTCTAAAAAAGGTGATATTTAAAAATGGTTATAAGGAAAAAAAATTGAATTCGACTACCAAATGCTTAAGATCCAACTTCTAAAACTTGGTAAGCAACATAAACATTATGATAGGTATGTAATAGATGAAATGGCTAAACAGCAAAACAACATAATATTGAATTAATCTAGGTTGACGTTAAACAATACGTAGCAGATAAAAACTCAACATTTAAATCTGGAGACATTAAAATTCTTTTTGAAGAAGTAATTTTATTAATTACTCCAGAAAAATGGAAAAAGTGTATCGACCATGTTCGCCAAAAAGTTGAAGTAAAAATGTGGGAGTTGGATAACATTATAGAGGTTCAGGTAGAACCACTTGTAATTTTGATTAATGAAGATAGCCCTTGAAGTCTAACTAATTTATCCGATTCAGAATAGTGCTAAGTCAAGTAAGGAAGATTGCTATAATACATGGTACAAGGTATCTAATCTAAATACTAGTAGAACAAGAACAATAAAGAACAAAAGTTGTCAAAAATACAAAAGGTTTCTTTTTAAGATGCACAATTTTAAATCAAATACCAAATTCAAATACCAAATACCTCTTATATTTAAAGTTTTTTTAATGCTTTTAGTAGATATATATTAGCTATTAAAGAATTTGCAATTATTTGGACATCCTGTATAATATAATTTTATAATATGATTGTTTTAATGCTCTATATCACAGTAGACATATGTAATGAACTAAATATAATGCAAACATCTCTTTTAAAGTCAAATACATTTATTAATTTGTATTGCAGGTTAACGCAGTTTATGTCGCTCACCTATCTTCGTCCAAAAATCTCACTAAAGTCTGGGAGACCGTGTATGGCATTTATTTTATAGTTTTAGTTTACAAAATATGTTTTTATCGTAATAAAAAAATAATTTCACAATTACACTCTTTTATTTTACATTTTTGCAAGACGGAAAAGTAAAATACGGCCCTGCTCAATTTTAGCGTCCACCTGCTTCTGTTTACATCAGGCGTAAATTAAATTTGAATAGACTTTAACTATATTATGAACGTCGCTCATTACACACGTGCGTAAAGAGTAATTTGTATAGCTTGTAAAATAATATGTATTTGGAATAATAGTGACAGTAGAAAATGATAATATAAATTTCAGTGTTACCTTTTTACAATAGATAATCTGATGATCGAATAGAAATAATGTTATATTGTTGGTCCATATACCAGTCGTCGATTTAACTACTTCTCCATGGTGAATTAACTGTGAGCTAATTTCTATAAGATCTTCACCCTAAAAATAAAAAATTTAGAACAAAACATATTATTCGTTCTCCAAATGTCAATCAATAAAAAAAATTGGTAGAAATAATTTAATAATTCGAAAACAAATCACAAACATCTCCCTACGAAATATTAAGACCATCCCCGAACCCCAAAGATGAAAACAAATACATGTAAATTTGAAAAAAAGCCTGTCACCCCTGTGATTCGAACCCAGTTATCTTTGTTCTGTAAACAAATGCCCTACCTCTAGTCCATGAAGACATTAGGTATTCCAAACAAAGGGCAATTTTGAAATGACACCCTATGGTGTGAGCAAGAATGGACAGAGTCTTGACTTTCAGAATGTATTTATATCTATACGTATTAAATAATCTTAAAATCCAAATAATAGTCGTTTTCTTTTTACAGATATACTGACATGGAGGAAGGATTCTCATCTAAGCTAAGTTGTAAAAAGAACGCGAATTTTAGTTGACAGGCGACGTGTTCCATGTCATCCGTTTAAAAACAATCGAAATTTTTATCACGACCTATCCAAATGGCTATCAGTCACATACTTTGATTTTCTTTTACTATACGGAGAATGGTCGCACTGCGCAGCTTTTTGAGTGCCTTTTAAAAGGAGATAGAAAACTCCGCCATTTTAATCCCTTATTACGTGTTGCCTACATCTTGGCGCAATATTTTTAATAGGTACGTTTTAATCATCCGCTTCTGCTTCGGAATTGTCGGTTTTCTTGTTTTGATCTGACAAGTTGATATTTGGCTTGCTGCTGTCAGTGTCAGTGAATATTATTTTTGGAGTCACAATTTATTGCTAAAGAATCAGTTAGCTCACTCGGACCAGTTGAAAGTTCCAAAATAACGTCCACTCCATGGATACAAATTCAGGATGCGAAGAAGATTGCTGTTTTATTATAGGCGGTTGTCATATATTGTATTATCCGAGTTGCGCAGTGTATAAACTGGAACAATGAGATCAAAAGTACCGACGCAGAATGAGCGAACTGATTCTTTAGCAATAAACTGTGGTAAAGGCATCAAAAAGACCGCGCCCTATGTTGGGCGTGTCGGACCTCTCTCTTGCACCATATAGTATTCAAAGTATGTGGCTCTGACAGTTTAGATATAACATCCCTGTTGTCAATAACAGGGTCAATGATACCTATATAGGTTATATAGATTGCTTAAAGCGGGACGTTTGCGAGCGGCCATATTGCCTGGCTAATTTAAATAGGTTTAGCAAAAATGTGTTTTAAGACCAATTTTCAGCCTTTGAATATTTAAAAACAAATGATTTGCCTACATTTTTACTTCAAGACATAAGATTATGTTTATTTTTAAAACCATGTATGATCAATATATACATAAGTGTCTATATCATTGACCCTATCAAACCACCAGGCTTACAGTGTTGCCATATTATAACCTATAATGTGTCTGTCAGTGGCTTGTCATTTCAAACAGGCAGCCATTTTGTTTGGAACGCTTAATTTCTTCAACATTCAACACTACGATCTCGCCCCCTGTTATTATAGTTTTTAAATCTCTCTAAAATAATGAACACCGTGACTAGCAGTACATCGGATGTACACGAAATATTTGTACATCGGATGTATTATCGGTTGTATTATTTATACATCATAATTCTAACCTAACTTTATTTCAGATGATGGAGTGGAAGACATAAGTATTTTTCTGTAGTATTTTATAAACCATAGAAGCAAGTGTCACTCACATACATGAACAAATAATAATAATGCCGTGACAACAAGAAGACGAGCAACGACTTTTTGTAGAAAATCTTAATCCATACCTGGCTACGCCGACTGGCATTAGCACCAACGGCCTGGACACAGTTCACCTGCTATGTCAGAAGGAAAGTGCATCCTCAGAGTCATATCGAGCGCGGCAGATCGCACTCCGAATCTCTAATAAAACGCGAATATAAACTCGGAGCAACCTGAGTTTCTCACGGAAAGGGGTTGCCCGTAGGTAATGACAGGCCACTGACAGACACATGATAGGTTATGATATGGCAACACTGTGACCCTGGTGATTTGACTGGGTCAATGATATAGCTAGTTATATAGATTGATCATCCATGTCTTTAAAAATAAACATAAGCTTATGTCTTGAAGTGAAAATGTAGGTAATTATTTTTTTAATTTATTCGAAGGATGGAAATTGATTTCAAAACACATTTTTGCTGATTTTAATTAAATAACACTTGTCAGGTAATATGGCCGCTTTAAGCAATCTATATAACTATGAATGTATCATAGTTATAGAGGAATTTGAATATTTAATATACATATACACCATATGAGAAATGCATTGCTAAGCTCATAATATTTATCTGCGTGAGTTAACTTTTCAATGTACGACGTTTGGCCCGAATTAGCACATCAATCTGCCGTTTAGGAATCTCGACAGTCAATGTCGTCATGGTATAGAGGAAGGCCATTTGTGTACAGAACAAAGATTTCTGGATTTGAATCCTGGGGCGAAAAGGTTTTTTTAAATCTCAAGTATTTGTTTTTACCTTTAGGGTTCGGGGATGGTCTTAATAATTCGTAGGGGATTTTTAATATTTGTTTCCGAATTTTCAAATTATTTCTACTACTTATTTCAGATAATTCTGACCTTTAGGATTTCGATTTGTGATCTACGATATTTTAAATTCACAATTTCAAAAAAAAAAAAAAAAATGATTATTTAAAAAATTGAATTTTGCCATTTTATTTTTCCTTTCAGTGGAATTATTAAAAGTACTTTTTCTTCGCTGCCAATAGCAACAACTTTCTATTCAAAAAGTCAAACTTTTACGTCATGAAATTAGCAGAAAAATGTCAGGATTTTGACGTTTCAAGAAAACACAAGTTATTTTTGTAGGATAGTTTGAATCGAAAATAAAAGGCAGTAAAGGAAAGAGAAGAAAGCTAAAATCTATCATTGTGCTAAATTTTGGTTAAATAGTAAGTCGGGTGTGTATTTTTTATTGTATAAGGCAACTATATCAGCATTCTTCGCATCTTTGGACATTTCATTACAGCCTATTATTTCAAGATTCAACTATAATAATCAATTATACACTATAAGAAAAAAAAAATAGTAATGTTTTCTTACTTCCCATCCTTCAACCCTCTGTTGCCAAGCTGCCAATTTCTCTAAACTTTCCATCCTTCTTTTTCTTTCATTGATGAGCATGGCTACTCCTCGCATTGCTTCCAATGCTTCTTTAATGTTGTTATAGTCACTATGTTCGGCTTTAGTATATTTAAGTAATTCCGCTAATTGTAGTGGATACTTGCAAATTCGCTGAATAGGACAAAGCAGGTATCCGTCTAGAGGAATTTCTATCAATCCTCTCATCAATCTACACGCCTCGAAGAATTTGCTGTAGTTTTGGAATTGGTAAAGTTCTTGTAATGTTGCGGTTGCCATCGGGTGACTGTTACAGTAGTCCGAGTACATTTTAAAACCTAAAGGAAAACATGATTATGGATAAATGATACATTAACTACCAATTCGTAATTATTTATAAATAAAAACGATCGAACAACTAAAGTTGATGTCAAAGGGAAGATAATAATGTAAAATATGCTCGACAGATTAAAATATCTGTTATTAAGTTATAAAAGTAATTTTAAAAGCCAACTTCAAAATCGTGTGGATGCCATCACCAAATTTATATGAAACCACCCCTGAATTACCCTCTTTCTAACAAGATTCATAGAAATCAGACAACGTTATAAAGAATTATCTCTGAACATACATAAAAACAAAAAAATATTCGGACGAATTGAGAACCTTCTCAGTTTTTTTGAAATAGGTTAAAAAGTGATAGTGCTAAAATTAAAATTGGAATATAGCGCAACAATACCCTATAAGCAAGATTCAAGTGATAACAAAATTCCAGCGACCCAAGTCTATTATTGTGAAAAAGATATATCGGACGTAGAAATCTAATAAAAAATGGTCTTATTTGGAGAATTCCACTACTGTAAAATATTCATCTCTAAAAAGGACAGACACTGCTACAAATTTTAAAAGAATTATCACAAAAAACCTACAACTTTACGAAAAACTTCTTTTATAAGGACTAAGAAGGCCATTTTAAAAATTTGGGATATATTTGGACAGTGAAATTAATTTTTGCCAACCTCTATAAAATAAAAAATTAAAACTTGATTTAAAAAGCCTTTATATATTTGTAGTTTTATCCTAGAAAGCAAAGCATTTTTAAATAGAAGTATGAAAATGTAATATTTTTCGGTATTTTTTTCTTCAATAGGGGTGGAATATTAAGAACAATATTTTGAAGGTGTGATTATAGGGCACCAAAAACTGTTAACTTATCGGTTGTTCCATTTAAACAAATTAGGTGATTTGCCTAATTTACTATTGGACCAACTAGCAAACATGTAAATAATTTTAGAATATTTGGTTTTGACCCCTACTGAAAGATTTCCTTCAAAAATTCGTTTAGTTTTGCATAGTAGAAGAAACAAAAAAATAAAATTAAATGAACAGGATACTGTAGAAATAATTTTTAACTTAGAAAATGGATCAATACCCATCAACCCACATTATTTCAAAAATATTTCAAATATTTCAAAAGTTTCAAACATATTGCTGTCCCAGTTTAAAACTGTAACATCTCAAAAGTTTTAGAATTTGAGATTTTTTTTTTTTTATTTATTAACATTTTTTTTTTAATATACATTTATATACAATTACTTTACAATTAGTTAGCGTCTCATAAAATGGCTACCACTCTAGGCATGGTTGCCTGTCCTGTGTGAAGCAATTTTATGAGGCGCTCTGTTTACAGTATTTAAGGGTGTTATGTAGTGTTTTATATCTATTTTTCATGTATAAAGACATTTTGAATTGTGATTTTTTCAGAGAGGTAATGATGGCAGCTTCGGTGGGGGGGGGGGGGGGGGGGGGGGGGGGTGAGAATCAGTTATTAATTTATGGTTAAATTATCTTAAATACATTTTAACAGCTGTTATTATCATGGGAACATCAGAAATATATAAGGATGATTGAGTATATACTTTTTTACTTCTATTTTGTATGTTTTATATATTTTTATTTCTTTTATATGTTTAGGTAGTACATTAAATAATTTCGGCCCAAAGAAAAGAAAGGAGTTCTGAGTAACAGTTTTTTTAAATAAATCTGTTGTTACATTTAGTTTCAGTTTAGAACGTGTATCTTTTATGTTTTGTTGAGGGCATTTAATTTGTTGGTCAAACATTCTTAGGAGACATTGGTAAATATATAACTTGTAGAATGTATTCTTAGGAAGGAGGGTGATCTGTACAGTTCACAGGGGCAGATGGAACCCCTTGCACCGGCGTGGGAAGTGAATTAAATTGGCACCCAGCCGGTCTAGCAAACAATTGAAAAAGCATTTCTTAGTTATTTTTTTTATTAATAAATTAACTAAAAATTATTTTACAATAACTGATAAATAAAAAACAAACTCCATTTTTAACATAAAAAACATAGGTAAAAGAAGAACCTACAGTAATTATTAAATAACATATAAACATAAATAAAAATCGGTAAAGTATTGTACCCAGAACTTCCCTCTATATGTATAGAAATTGTAAAAACAGGGAATTCTTAAGCAATTAAATTTTAATAATTTAAAATTAACACCACCAAACCAAAAAACTGTTTCTGATCCCACCCGAATTCTCACTTCGCGTCCACTCGGTATTGTTCGTTATTAAACAATAATTATTGTCTGCTTTTAAAATGGTCGAGTTACACAAACCAACAGGACCATTTTTATTATTTCCATTCAAGGCGGACCTTTTTTAATTAACTACGATTCCTTTCAGCACAATTTTGAATTTTTAAAAACTTATTTAGGACCTGTAATCTTTGGCTTCTAAAATTTCCAGATACCAATTTTAATCGAAATCTGCTGACTTTTAACAATAATTTTTATGTTAATAACTGTTCACCCTGTATATAAATAATCGGATGTATAACTGGTTTCGAGCCAGAAAGAAATCATATCTCCATACAAAATTTGAAGTTTTTCTATAAAGCCGTTTTTGAGCTATCGCGCCAACAGACAGACGACCGATAGACCGACGGAATGAGGAAACATGTTTTTCGTAATCTAGGGACCCTGAAACGTGAAAATCAAAAATATTCTCGGAAAGTCACTTTTTCATGATTACAATACTTCCCTTTTATAGAGGCAAGTAAAAAGGAACTGTTAATTTTGTTAACACAAATATCACATAAATAAAAGAAGAACTTCTAATGTAATGGTGTTTTCCATTGGCACTGGCAGTACGCAATGAGTATATTTGTGTCCTTGTTTATTTATATGGAAAAAAAGAAAGTAAGAATACACTCAGATCGCACTGAACATTCCAATGGAAAGTACATAAAGTATTGCGGTCTAGAGAATGAAATATTGGTTCTTTCATAAACGGTCAATGACGTCGTCATTTTCTATTGTATTTAATATGTCGTTTTGTATATGTCGTCGGTTTTCACTGATAGTACTCCTTAGAGTGCTTTTCAAGTACTTCAGTTTAGAAAAACTTATCTCTACTTCTGAAATTGGAATTGTCAGCAAAAATTTATATGCTAATGACAACTTTGGGTAAACCTTTTTTTACATATTATATGTACAAATGATGGAATAGCAGCACAGTGAGCAATTTTTGCAACTCTTGCATTGTATATTCTTTTCTTTACGTCGTCCTGTTGATTACTGGTTGATTTCTAAGTGACATTTTTGTACTCAGATAATCACGACTTCTGGGTATCTATTCTTGAATCTCAAGGAGTATAAATTTTAAGGGAAGAATGAGACAAACATACAAATTGTTTGCGTTGCAGATAAAGAGGAGAAATCAGTTTTCTATTCCCTCGAATTTAAGAATAACTACCCTGCTGATCGACAATTCTAGTACACATTTCAGGGGGGCTATTTTCAAACTCGAGAGAATTTATTTCTCCCAAGAGAAATGTCATACGTCAACGTTAAAGTTTTTTTTATGGCCCATAGGGCCAGTGTGAACTAACTGACTGTTTGTCTCGGTTTATTTAGAGAGAATTAAAATTCTCCTAAGAATTTTAATCCTCTAGGCCTTTAAAAACAGCGTTTCCACATTGACGTATGACATTTCTGATGAGAATCTTGACTGGCGACGCGCTTGGCAACACGAATTGTAAATTTACTAGTAATGCAGATTTTCTTTCATTATTCCAAATCACTACATGACAGTTAAAATCCAATACACTATAAACTATAATGAATAAAACAATTTTTTCTTTCTTCGAATTCTATATCCACTCTCTACTTGAACTGGTTTATGTTCTGGGCTGAGATTGTATGTTGCTGGAGATCATTCTACAGATATACAATTATGTTTGTTACGAATTTTTTTCTTTGCAGTTTATTACACTTTTCTTTATCTAATTTCTTCGAGTGACCTTTCAAGGTTCTTGATGTTCTATCCTTTAAACTTGTAAGTTGTAGTTTGGTTAGCCGATCACAATACTCATTGTTTTTTAGGGTTGGTGGTATTTTGGTGACTCTCCTTTGTACTCTTTCCAGCAGTTAAATATCTTTCACAAAGTATGGATCCCAGACGGTCTGTGTAAATTTTTCGTGTTAGGCATACGACTAGTATACAAGTTAATAAAATGGCAACAGCCAGTCGTCTACTAGATTTAGAAGATATGGTGATGAGATATTAGTCGAATCGAATGGCAGTCACAAAGCCAGAGAGCATAGCGATAGTGGGGATATCGTAGTTGCGACATGTTGGCTATGAAAGCACGGCTATGCCTTATACAAAATAATAAGTACTACTCAATTATTCCTATAATCCTGGAACAATAAGAAAGAGGTAGAGGCCAGAGTCAGACGAACGCGGAGATACGAGATACTTTATATCCTCATAACGAAATAATGCAACGTCACATGAAACATTACGTTTTTCTGGGTATGAGCGCTTTCGTCATGTACCTATATTTATGATTTACAGGCTCACATTAATAATTAGATTAATAAATTCTGGCTTTTTCAATTCTTTTTTAAAACTTCAAATTGTTAAAAAAAAAAGAAAAACCGTGGCGGCACCTATTAAGCCGGTTTCCCATGGGCCCATCCGCAGTTCAAGACTAATATCACAAAAGATTTTGTAGAAGAAAATGTAGAAACAAAATCTTTTGAGATATGTGTTAAACCGTATAGATCTTGCCTTACTTACTGTAAGAATACATTCTTATCTCAAATCCTAAAATTTTTGAGATGTTACAGTTTTGAAATGGGACAGCGATATAATATTTCAAGCACAAGTTTCTGAATTATTTCTCAAATATTTTATTTAAATGTATTACTGAAAACGTTTCTGAAACAGATTATAAATGTTACATAAAATGGGTTATGTTGTAAATGGCCAAGAGTTGAAAAATTTATCATTTGTAAGAAGAGGAAGAAGAAGATGGGTCATGTAGTAATTTTAATTAAAATGATATAATTTTATTTCATCCTATATCCAGATATAACCCTATTTTCTAAATAAATGGAAGCTATTTTGATATTCCAGAAATATTTTAGAAACATTTCCATGTTTCATAATATTTATGAAACAAAACATTTCTGAAATATTACTATTATATTTCTAAAAGATTTGAAATTTTTATTTCTTAAATATTACTATAAAATATTTAATTTACAGGACATTTTTACATTTTACATACCAGAAACGTTTCTGGGAGTTTCATAATATACAATATTACAAATATTTCAATGCTACATTTTTGAAATATTTTCGAAATGTTTTGTGCTGTAGGTATAATAGGAAGATACCAGAATGGAACAGAATGTAAAAGAAGCAGAGGAAAGAATTTAAAAAAAGAGAAATAGATCAGATCACAAAATAGATGTATGTGTACGTAAGTAACCAAAGATGTTAATAAAATAAAATGTCAGAGAAATGAAAATAAAAGAGAAGAACAAGAAGTGGAGAAGAAACTAATGGAAATGGAAACAAAGTAGAGGAAACTAACTGCAGGAGGAACATGTAAAGGGAACCAAGGAAACAAGAATTGTAAATAACTATATGACAGTAACAAATGAACTAATAAGAATTATTAAGAACAAAAGAAGAAATATAATTAAAAAAAGGATTTGATAGTATGAGAGAGTGTAAGAAGAGATGGGAACAAAAGCAAAAGTGATAATAAAAGTAAGAGTAAGAGAATTGTTAAAACATTCAAAATATTAAAACATGAAACGCTGTTCCTAAAGTGGCGCAAGGAAACAGTAACAAAGCCTCTTTGTAGGGGTGTAGGAGTATTAGAGCACTAATACTCCTGCACTATTGAGTATTAGACTACTGGTACAATCCAAAACCTACATAGAACACGAGGCTAATCACCTTAGTTGTTGAAGCTAATGACACCAATGAAAAAAAAAAACAATATTTAAGTTTATCACTTAATATCTAGGCTCAAAAATCTTAAAAACCAACCCTGAAGCCCATTTGAATCTCTTGAGTTTATTAGGCAACCCACATTACAGACACGTGGACGCTTATTTTCAAAACGATTGGACGTGACGTAAATGCAAAGAACGCTTGGAGTCCATCAAATATTCTACGCTGACAAGTGACAACAGTGTTGCCAACGGGAGGGAAATTTTCTGTTTTGCCGGAATTTTTAACATAAAATGGAAAAAAATGAAAAAGTTAACTAAAAATGGGAATTTTTCACTTCAGTCTACAATGTGAAAAATGTATGATATGAAAAATAAAATAAAATTGGTTGTTTGATGTATTTTTAAAGTATTGTTAAAAGATTTTATGATACAAACTTGTATTTCTGGTATAAAATCTGAGAACTTAAGCTCGACAGGACCTGGTTTATGAAATGATGCTGGAGACTTTTTTTTCTTCAGAAATTTCACAAACAAAGGTCCGGGATTTCATAAAAATGAGAATTTTCTAGGTATGTATAGGGAAAATCTTACTTCAAGGTTGACAACACTGAGTGATGAGCTCTCTAACTCGACGGTGCAAGGCCTGCTTCACTGTCGTTGTAAAAAATGTGGCTGATCGCGGCATCATGCCGCCATCTTTAATTTATGAAATAATTTTGATCAAAATTGAAATATAGGCAAAATGTGAGAAATTTTACAAAGTTAGTGCCGTACTAAACATCTAAATAGCAGGTCTGTTCCAACACGCGTAAAAATCGTAATATTACCGTACAAATCATGCACTCTACTCAAAAATTGTATACCGCGCATGATTTGTACGGTGATATTACGGTTTTCGCGCGCATTGGAACAAACCTAGTGTAGCCGGCTTTTTATTTTCCTGTGATGACGGAGCAAATCACTACATTTTCTGGTAAGCAGTCCACTAGAGTCTTTGAAATAAGTTAAATGCAAAGGTACAGGGAGACATCAAATCCTGTATCTGATCAAATATTATTTACTTGACACCTTAACATTTTCATAACATTTGAAATTTCGATCAACTAAACAATAACTGATTATTTTCACACTTACCAGCACGATGTTTTAGAAAACAAGCACCCACACAACTTTTATACGGCGATTCCCAGTCAATGCAGGTCTCTAAGTCCTTTAAAAATCCCAACTGAAACGTCAAAATATTTTCTAGGTTAATAAAAATAGCGTCGATATGTTCTTTTGTAAACATATCAGTTCTTTTGCGACATTCTGCAACGTAACCTTCGACAACGTCTTGAAGTACTTTCACGAAATCACGTTCGGTATGCACTAATTCGCGCACCACACTCGTTCGCACTTGGTCATTAGATAAAAGGGAAATACTAGTCCTACGTCGTATCTGAGATGACATTCGCTCGCCCGAAGCCATCGCTGCTAAGCAATCTTCCACGGTGTCCTCTTGGCTGACTCGCAATCTGACGAATTGGGCCGGAAACCAACCGGATTTTCCTTTGGTTGAACCCCACCACCAATCCCTGTAAACATAAAATTATGTAGCTACTTATTTTAAAAGAAAAAAAGACGCAAAAAGCTCGATAATCAGATCAATTAAAATGGGAAATTGTTCAAAAATGACAAGCATTTTTTCACAGATACTTCAGTTACTTTCTTTACAATTCATATAAATCACCCCGTATAAATAATATATAATAAACAACAATATATTTTATTATTAATTCAGTACATTGTAAATTTGAAGCCATCCCTGGCTCTCTAGCAACAGTAAATGCAATGCCAGGAAAAACATATTTGCATACCTGAATTTTATTTACAAGCGTTTTGAGCGCCAAAGTATAGTGCTTTTTCTCGTGGAAAATTTCAAGTAATTTAATCATTAGCGCTAACCTCTTCCACTCATAAATCTGTTCCACTCTCGTTAACAGAAATATAGTAAAACATAGACTGTTAAATGCATCCACAGGTGCAGAAAACAATATTCTATCTTTCTCTGTAAAAATCACAAGGAAACATCAACCGATTTTCTCTCAGTCAATCACGACGAGACATACACACAATTGCAAGCACTCACACCTCCACTAGACAAGACAAACGATGGGAACTCTTTTGACCTCCGACACATCAACTTCTTTGATCTCTCCCGTCGTGAGCTCGACGCTATTCACAAGGAACATACATTTCGAGATTCTTTAAATCTGCTGATTGATTATTAAATCCTAACTTTAAGTATTTGTATCATTTGAGTATGTAAAAATGTTGTTAACTGAAAAAAATATTTAATTTCCTAATTAAAAAAATAATTCTGGTAATCCATCTACAAGCATCACATTTGTACTAGCTACATTACTACATTTCACTGCTCCTTCTTTCTGCGACAGCGATTGAGAACAGAAATAATTAACAATAATGTTTTTAATTACCTATGGGCCGTTTCCAATACTTCTATCACATCACCAGCTCTAAACGCTAGTTCTTCTGATTCAATAGCTACATGATCGAATACAGCTTCTGCTAGAATGATCATTTCTTCGTCCACCGGCATATCTAGGGATTTCTTTCGTTCAACCAACGATGCTAATGATGATTCTGAGTCAGACATCATTTCATCCTCGGAAGTACCTTGTCGATTATCTTGCTCATCATCGCTAACCATGTGGAATTTTAAACCTGAAACATGATTTTATTAAAAAAATTTGTAACCTCTAGCTTTCCTAAATGGTTCATTAAGGAACTAAAGGACTTTGTGAATCAGGAAAAGGGTGTTACATTTCAGGAACATTTCTGAAATGTTTCTGAGGCATTTCGTAATATTTATACATTACAAATGTATCAATGTAACATTTTTGAAATATTTCCGAAATGTGTTTATGCTGTATGGGTATACAGCACAAATTATTTCAGAAATGTTTCATAAACATAAAATTTCAAGCACAATTTTCTGAAATAATTCTAAAATATTTAACTGAAAATGTCTGATTAATGTTGCATAAAAGGTTACAAAATGGATAATGTTGTAAAAGGCCAAGACGTAAAAAATTTCTCATTTGTAAGAAGAGAAAGAAGATAGATTATGTAGTCATTTTATTTTAAATATAATTTTATTTCATCCTATATCCATAAAAACCCTATATTCTAAATCATTTGAAGTTTGCATTTGTTGTCAGTTTTTTCCACTTGCTTTTTTTGTTGTTTGTGTTGTTACGTGGGAGGCAGATTATGTCTTTAGAAATTGAAGTAAGTTTTCTACAGAAATAAAGCTTGTAAGTTAGGTTAGGTGTTAATTTCCTATACAGCACAAAAACATTTCGGAAATATTTCAAAAATGTTACATTAAAATATTTGTAATGTTGCATAAATATTACCAAACGTCCCAAAATATGAAGTGATATACTTCGAAACTGGTCGCAGTATATAAAAAATACATATATATGTGGGGACCTTTTTCTTTTCTGCCTTTTAAAAATATTACAGTATAATACTGCATTCAAAAGTTATATTGATATCCCAGAAATATGGTAGAAACGTTTCTAGAATGTTTCATAATATTTATGAAACAAAACTAGAATACATTTTAGAAATATTACTACACTCACCGACTTAAAATTCGATCCATTCAAAATAATGATTTATTTAAAAATGCTCTTTCAAATGCGGAGGCTGATTTATTTGAAGTTTTTAGAAACTTTTAGATAAAATACTGTAGTTTTAAGATTAATATTCGGACATCTAAAAGTAATTTAGTACTCGCCGGATATACAGGGGCGAAAAAAACACAATTTTTTCCTCTACTTTTGACACACCCTGTAGGTTAATTCTGCTAGTAGATCTGCACACAATTAACTTTATCAAGAAGACTGATTTGTTTTCAACATTTTGTTTTTTTATTTACCCCGATATCTTAATTTGTTTGTGAAATGTGACGGTTTAAAGAAAATGTTGGGTATACGCAGAAGAAAGACTAGGAACTTCCGTAACACAGTTTATTTGACAAGCTATAAAAAATTAAATTGACAACTTCAATATTCTAGTAAACTAGTAAATGCATAAAGGTAAGTAGTTAAGATGATAACTCTCATGAACTCTAACAGAAAATGCAACATTCTTAATTTTTTTATTCAGTTCTAGCTGAGTAATACATAATTTTATAAACAAATCAAACAACAAATTAACTAATAATTATTACAAATTAATAACGGGTATTTCCCCCATGAGCGCGAATAACTGCCTCAATGCGTCGTGGCATACCCTCTATTATATGTCAAATCTCCATCTGGTCAATCTGATCCCATTCTTGGACCAAAGCATCTCTCAAAAAATTTAAATTACTTGGAGAAGGAACTCGGTTATGAACTAGTCTACCCATCATGTCCCAGACGTGCTCAATTGTATTGAGGTCTAGGCTACGTGATTGCCAGTTCATCCTTTGAATTTCTGTTTCGTCCAAATATTGAGATACAATCCTCGCAATATGTGGTCGAATGTTGTCATGCATAAACATGAATTCGTTTTCTATAAACGGTGCAAATGAAATTACATGTGGATCTAGCACATCACGAATATATCGGTTAGCTGTCATTGCTCCGCCACCAACAATGAGTAAATCAGTACAAGCTTCCATGCTTATGCCGCCCCAAACCATTACCAAAAATTTGGTTGGTCAAACCTTTAGCCTCTTCTTCGGTATATTCTTTCACGGCCATCAGGAGAACGTAAACAAAACCTTGACTCGTCAGAAAATTATATCTTACTCCAGTCATCGATATTCCAATGTTGATGCTCCCTGGAAAATCGAAGACGTGCTGTTCTGTGATTCCTAAGTAACTCCGGACCAGTTGCAGGTCTTCTGGAGCGTAATCCATGTTCTCGTAATCGCCTTCGAATCGTTATTTCGTTAACAGCTACTTGACGTACTTCTTCTAAACGATTTCGAGCCATAACAGCAGTAGTATTTCTTTCTCGCAAAACATTTAATGTTACAAAACGATCATCTCAAACATTTGTAGAACGTCGTCTGCCAGATCCTCTTCGTCTTGAAAAACTACCAGTTTCATTGAAACGTTGTACAGCTCTCTGGACGCTACACCTTGTAACACCCAATATTCTAGAAGCATAATACTGAGACCTATCTACCGTCTTGTACCAGAGCAACTGCTCGTGCTGCATCAGTAGACGTTATATCCATGATGTTATGCTGATAATAAATATTTGTTATGCTGATAATATAACTGCAATTGCCAAGTAGCAAATATTTGATAGTTGTCATATTGTGAGTTGGTCACAGCACTCTACTTATTTTGTAGTTTATTCTCTACCGTCATTTAAATTATGACATTGTCTTTAAACCGTCACATTTCACAAACAAATTAAGATATAGGGGTAAATAAAGAAACAAAGTGTTGGAAACAAATCAGTCTTCTTGATAAAGTTAATTGTGAGCAGATCTACTAGCAGAATTAACCTACAAGGTGTGTCAAAAGTAGAGGAAAAAATTGTTTTCTCTTCTCCCCTGTATATGCGGCGAGTACTAAATTACTTTTAGATGTTCGAATAATAATCTTAAAACTACAGTATTTTATCTAAAAGTTGCTAAAAAAATTAGCCTCCGCATTTGAAAGTTAGAGCATTTTTAAATAAATCATTATTTTGAATGGATTGAATTTTTAAGTCGGTGAGTGTATGTTATGTTTCTGAAACGTTTAAAATTTTTATTTCTGAAATATTACTATAAAATATTACATTTGCCGGACAAAATTACGTTTCTAGGACATTCCAGAAATATTTCTGGGATATTTCGTAATATTAACATAACATAACATTACAAATATTTCAATGTTACATTTATGAAATATTTCCGAAATGTTTTGTGCTGTATGAGATATTAAAATAAACTAATCTTTTTAATATTCAAGGGACCTTTTTTACAAATTTTTATTTATATTGCACTCACCTCCGTGTTTAGCTTTCATTAACGGCGACAGCTTATCGATATCCAGCGGCTGACTTAGCGATCGTCTCAGAGTACCTCTTCGACCCAATCCTCCCCTTCCCCTTAACACGACTCCATCGGGTGGCGTATCGGGCGGTTTTTTCCTAGGACTTTGAGAGCGACTGTCGATATGTGGTGATCCAGGAGAAGAGATCATTCTACCGAATGAGCGATCCCAATGTAAGATACGACGTCCCCCCAAGTCCGAGCGCGTCCTCCGAACTTGCTGGTGATTATTGTGGGCACGTTGTTTTAAATCAGCCTGAAACAAACAAAAAATTATAATAATTATAAGTTTCGGTATATATTCTATAAGTTTATCGTTGCCCAGCGCCATTTTAGGAACATCACTGTTAATTAGAACCCAACAGTGAAATGGCAGAGTGTGGTAATTCTAGGTGAGCATCAGAATTAATTTTATTTATTAAATTAATGACATTTGACAGTAGACAAAATAGGTACGCTTGTCACCCAGTTGCACGATGGTTAAATAATTTATATTAAGTTGATATCTCACAAAGGGTTTTACGTGGATTTGGTACCTTATACCAACCCCAATTATCATTATTGTATTTGTTTTAATCCACAACTCAATGTATCTTTTGATTGTTCCCATGTGAAGGGTATTTTAGTCGTAAGTTTTAACATTAATTAATATTTAAATTGTTAATTTGATGATGGCTTTGTAAGACGAAAGCGCTCTTCCAAATTTTTAATAATAAATCATTGCATTTCTCTTTTCTTGGATCTAAACTCGAAAATACTGTTACGTGAAATTAATTTTAAATTAATTTCAAATTTTATTTTTAACAACAACTTCTCCATAACCCCTCGTAAATGACAAAATATTAAACGAAGATAGCTAGCTTCCTTTTAGATTAGTAAGCTTTGTGCACGTGCTCAGCGTTTCTTCTGCATTCATGCTGAAATAAAACCTGCTAGCGTTGCTTTAAGAGTCCCTTTTTGAGATAAGACATATCAGATGGTTTCGGTCATATACAAAACTAGTCTACGCGTTTTGGACCGATTTTTGCACATACTTTGATTACTATACGGGGCAATAGAGAGGTCCGACACGCCCAACATAGGGCGCAGCCATTTTGATTCCTATGACACAGTTTATAGCTAAAGAATCAGATCGCTCACTCTGCGTCGGCACTTTTGATCTCAATGTTCCAGTTTATACACTGCGCAACTCAGATAATACAATATATGACAACCGCCCATAATAAAACAGCAGTCTTCTGCGTATCCTGAATTTGTATCCCTGGAGTGGATGTTATTTTGGAACTTTCAACTGGTCCGAGTGAGCTAACTGATTCTTTAGCAATAAACTGTGACTCCAAAAATAATATTTACTGACACTGACAGCAGCAAGCAAAATATCAGGTGCGTTTTAATCATCCGCTTCTGCTTCCGGAATTGTCGGTTTAGTCGTTTTAACCTGTCAGATTAAAACAAGAAAACCGACAATTCCGAAGCAGAAGCGGATGATTAAAACGCACCTATTAAAAATATTGCGCCAAGATGTAGGCAACACGTAATAAGGCTCCTTTTAAAAGGCACTCAGAAAGCTGCGCAGTGCGACTATTCTCCGTATAGTAAAAGAAAATCAAAGTATGTGGATTTTTGGAATTCGTTGGACATGGTGGTTTAACATTGAACTATAAACGCATGGAGACTACACAAGGAGCACGCACTCCATGTATAACAAGCGTACTGTGTTAAACAGAGTATTTTAAGAGGGCGCTCGTATTCCATAAGTACCAAAATGGCGTAAGAGAATGAGGCGGTAGTTTGCAATAAAATAAATAATTCTAATTAATTATTAATTAATTATAACTCTAATTATATTTATTTAATTTAAAAACATTTGACACGTGTTTACGTTAATTAAATAATCGGTTACTTTATTTTCACGCTAACTTCACATTTGTTTATTCCTCTATATTCACATCGGTACAAAAGAAAAATTAGCGACGCTAGTGGTGAAAAAAGAAAGCTTTATTTATACGATAAAGCGCGGACATACTCTGGCAAATGCCACACTTGAGTGCGTGCTCCTAGTGTAGTCTCCATGTATAAACGACTGACAATTACGTAAAGGTATTTCTTACTCAACGACTATATACTATGACAGTCACTTTTATCATTGGTCATTACAAATTGCTCGTGTCACATTTCAACCAATAGCGTCATCAGTGCAATGTCTTATAAATGCTATTTGTTTGTACCTTGTACCATAATTTCAATAAGTAACATAATGACATAACCTAAAACTAAATACTGGAAATAAAAAGAAAGGATAAACAATAATTAATTTACTATTAATTACTCATGTCTTATTTAATTTCCATTTATTTTAAGAATTTACAAATTTATTTTTCCTACGACCACTTAGGAAAGTGACACATATCACACTATATAGACCTATGGAAAGTGCCCTATATCACACGCGTATGAATAAGAATTTACTTTCCACCCAAGTGAGAATATTCTACTTTCCGCAGTAGCTGTCAGAAAATGTCAAACACATAATTTCTATTTTGATCTATGTAGTGTCCATATTATTACTAAAATCGATATGATTGTTAAATTATTGTAAATTAGATCCTAGATATTTATCTTTAACAATTATTTTTAAAATAATTTTAAAATAACTAAGATATATTTGCTTTTTATTCTGGTTAAACACATAAGCGATTAGATCAATCAATTACCGTAAGGCCTGTTAGCTCAGTTGGTTAGAGCATCAACTTTGCAATTTGAGACCGTCCAACGACCGCGATCGAATCCTGGCTGTGCCAGAATTTTTTTTTTATTTTTTTTTATTTGTTTAGAAATTATGAAAATTTAATAAATACGATTATTGTTGATTATTTTTTTAAATACATTTTAATTATTATAATAATCTGGTTTTACATTTTTTGATGAAATTATTTTGTGGTCGTAGGAAAAATATTGTACATCACTTGTGTGAAAAGTGATTTTCCACACTCGTAATGTAATATACTATAATCGTGTTTACTACATGAAATGAATATATTAAGGCAAAAAATAAATTTTTAATCTAGTAGTTTTTTATTATACCTAGTTAGATATCTTCTCTCTGGTCCCTTTTTATTTGTCGAACTCAAACCTCAAAGTGCTAGTGTTGTGTCGACAAATCTACTAGTTTGTAGTTATTATGAGTAGATTTAGATAATTATCGTGTGTCTTTTGTATGTGCTTATGTGTTACCGTTGGGATAATTGTCAGGTAATGATTTTTTCAACTAATATTTTAACGCTTTGCTGGATTTAGTTGGAAAGCCGAAGGATCGGCCATTTGCTTTTTTATTACCACCATATTGACGAATGCCGGTTAATATTATTGTTTTATTTTATATAGATTATAATAATATTTTTAAGCTTTCTTTGATATACAGGGTGTCTGTAAAAGGTCTTTACAAAAACATACCACATATTCCTTAGACCAAAATAAGTCGATTTAAGTAAAATTACCTTAGTACAAAGTTGCTTTGTTTGGGCTCCAGAGGGTCTTGAAGTTACAATTCTTAAATCATTTTTCCCATATAAATTTAAAACGGCATATGCGATTTTGCTGAAATTTGGTATATTGGTAGAGTTTTATGTGGTAAAAAAAAATGGTATTAAAATTTTGATTTTTTAAATAATTGCACCTTTAAAAATTCTACGCCAATGAAAGAAAAGGAGTTTCAGTATGAAATTTAGATTGCGCAACTCATTTACTTTAAAAAAGGTACTCTTGATAAGACTCGATTACTCTCATGGTATTGACGAAATTTGCATTTTAGTAATTTTAGAACATAAACAATAATTATTAAAATACAAACTTTGTCAAAACCATGAGAGTAAATCGAGTGTTATCAAGGGTACTTTTTTGTAGTAAATGAGTACTCAATCTAAATTTCATACTCAAACCCCTTTTTTGCCATTGACGTAGAATTTTTAAAGGTGTAATTATTTAAAATATCAAGTTCTACGCCTATGTAATATTATCGGACAAAATTTTATGCGATGAAAAACATAAAAATGTACTTTTTTCATATCTTCTTCAACACCTCTAATCGAGACTTTTAACAAAAATACTCGATTCTTGCCATGTACGATTTTTTGAGGAATATTAATTATTTGCCTGCAATACGTATACAAAAACATTTATTGTTGGTTTCCATAGTTTCATCTAAATAAAAATATTGTCAAGTTTTAACACCTAATCTCTTGTTAACGATTGAAAGTGTTCTATCTGACTCAATAATTAAAAAAACAAATGCGTGGTTTATTAATATGGCTGTACAATATACCAATGCAGAATATACCGATATGTTACTGACATTAGGATTTTGTTAAGGAAATGCTCGAGAGAGTGTCAGGGTGTACTCTGAAAGGTTTCCAAATCGTCGTGTACCTAGCCACCCAACTTTTGCTGCTGTTGAGAGACGTCTTCGGGAGACCGGTTCCTTTGCTCCCAACACTGTTGATAATGGAAGAGAACGTTTTGTAAGGATTCCTGAAGTTGAAGAAGACATTTTAGAACGTGTTGAAGAAGATCCAGAATTAAGCACCAGACGAATTGGAAGGGAACTAGGAGTAAGTAAAGATGTCGTTCATAAAGTGCTTAAAGAACAATTGCTATATCCATACCATAAGAAGCCAGTACAAGAATTATTAGTCCATGATCCTCAAATTCGTTTGGGTTTTTGTTTTGTCGATTTGTTAATATGCAAAGAGAAAGAGATCCAAACTTTGTCAAGAAGGTTCTCTTTACCGATGAAGCGGGTTTTACAAGAAGAGGTATAACTAATACCCATAATGAACATGTTTATGCCGTTGAAAATCCGCATGCAATAAAGGTAAACCATTTTCAGCACGAATTCAAAATTAATGTGTGGGCTGGAATAATTGGTAATTTCATTGTTGGTCCTGTCATACTTCTACGAAGAATAACTGGAGAAAATTATTTGGATTTTCTACAAAATACGTTGCCAGAATTGTTAGAAGATTTACCTCTCCAACTTCGGAGAGATATGTGGTTTATGCAAGATGGAGCTCCACCACATTTTTTTTTAAACGTTAGAAACCACTTGAATGAACAATATCCACACAAATGGATAGGCAGAGGTAATGACGCACCTGTAAACTGGCCACCACGTTCCCCAGACCTAACACCGATGGATTACTTTTTATGGGGACATCTGAAATCTACAGTTTACAGGGAACCTGTAGAAAATGAGGAACA